GAGAATAAGACTTTAAAATTAAAATGTTTACTTAATTTGCTATCTTTTCCCATTAAAATAATAAAATAACAGCCTTTACAGGTTAAATTATCTGTTTTATGACCCAGGGGTTAGGGATTTTTCTGTTTTTTGCCACTGGGGCCTCAACTTTGCTAAAAAATTCTGTTGTTTCTGAGAATATGGAATATTTAGTATATTAATAGGAGAGAACAAACTATTGTAAGTTTTAAATAGGTATTTTTGTATCTATAGCTTGTATTTTTTTTATGCCACGGTCACAGTCAGGTGTTACAGCTCACTTATGGGTTTTCAACAGGACAAAACACCCCAACAACAATGTTCATCAAGGATCTATGAGTTTCAATGACTGCAAAGAGTAAATATAAGCACTTCTTAACAATTTAAAGTACATATATGCATGTATTATGAATTTACTTTACATACAGGGCTTTAGGTAAACTATGCATATTGTAAACTGTTAATTTATGCTGAGTCATCCTATTTAAGGCTCAAGATTTTCTCAATCTTCATGAAATATTTATAAAACTTTATATTTGAGTTAATTTCATTAAAATCTCTGAAGATAAACCAGATTTGGTAAAATTCTATATGTTCTCTTTTTTCACCCAATATAGGTTGCACTTCTGTAAATATAGACAATGCAATTTCCCATAGGAACTTCTTTTACGGCTAAAACTGTGCTACTTTTTCTATGAAGTTTCATGAAAAATTATATCCTAGAATGGACAGTTCATATGCACTACTATTTTTTCAAAGGTCAAAACATAGGGCTGTTTTCAACATTTATATGCCTCAACCTTCTTAGAGTTTAAACTTATACTAAAATTCTGTACTACCCCTTCTTTTACTTTTGAGTCTTCATCAGAATTCAAGTTGACTGCTATCCATGTGTGTTTATACTGGTAAAATTCCCAAGTAGTGTCTCCATGAGATGAAACATGGAGATCATATCTGGGAACTAGTAGGTAAAAAAACCAAAATATCTATGAAAATAAGCATTCTGAGATGTATTGCATGGCAATACATAGTCCCCTACCGGTTGAAAATTCATTATACTGGAACAAAATGCTAACTTGATCTATAACTTTCTCATTGTGTAAACTATATAACAAATATTAAGTCAATATCTTCAAGCATGACCAAAAGAAAGTGTGGAAAACTGATTATTTGAGTGAATTTTCCAAGTCCAAGGACCATAACTCTGCACAAATTCACCAGACCGGAACAAAATTCGTACTTGATCTGTAACTTATCATGACAAAACTATATACCAATATCTTCAAGCATGACAAAAAAGGGCGGAAAACTGATAATTAAGGTGAATTTTCCAAGTCCAAGGACCATAACTCTACACAAAATCATCAGACCGGAACAAAATTCAAACTTGATCTGTAACTTGTGATGATAAAACTATATACCAATTATCAAATCAATATCTTCAAGCATGATAAAAAAAAGTGCAGAAAACTGATTATTAGAGTGAATTTTTTAAGTCAAAGGACCATAACTCTGGACAAAATCATCAGACCAGAACAAAATTCGAAACTGATCTGTAACTTGTCATGATAAAACTATATACCAAATATCAAAACAATATCTTCAAGCACGAAGAAAAAAGTGTTGAAAATGATTTGCAGGACTGACGGATGGACAGACAGACAGTTATACAGACAGAGTGCAAAACTAAAGTCCCCTTCGACTTCATCGGTAGGGGACTAATTAAATAACTCCCCAAAAGAGGTGTGGTTTGTGAAACAGCTGCAACTTTCAGTTTGGATTTCTATGATTTTATAGATAGCAAAAACCAAACTAACAAACAAACAACAAAACTAAATAATTCTTAAAAATGCCCATGCATTAATATGCCCTTCAAATATGTGTGTGAATTGTATTAAAAAAATTTAAAGAATAAAAACATTTGCATTATTGATTTTTAATCTACCAATATTGAAATAAATGGGGAATGTGTCCATGGGACACAGATGATGTCCCCGCTGGCATATAACGTTATAAAGGGACATAACTTTAAGAACGGTAAAAGTGACGCTAACCAAATTCTACTTAAGTTTTTTTGGAAAAACGCATTGTGTATAAGTTTCATAACATTTGGTTGAGGCAAACTTAAGTAAGAGAACGGAAACGAAAAATTCAGCAATTTTTCCATTTGCAAAAGGACATAACTCGAGGAAAGGTAAAAGTGACGCCACCCTAATTCAAACTTGATCTGTATTTTGTGGTAATAAGCATTGTGTATAAGTTTCACAACATTTGGTTGAGGCAAACTAAAGTTGGAGAACGGAAACCAATTTCAGGACGTACAGACAGACAAGGGTAAAACTTAATGCCCCCTCCGCTTTGGCACTAACTTATTGTTATCATAAAATGTTGATGATTCTCTAAAAGATATACCACAATGTATAAAAGGTAAAACAAGTTCTTTCCTGAAAAATTTTAGCCACCAGCAGCATATATATATATATATAAGAATCTTAGATTATTGTAAAACATCATTTCATCTGGATTCTTCCATAGTAATCTCCCTTCTTTGACTTCAGTTTTCTCCTATAGAAATTGGTGATTTTTTTATTAGATTTGATTGGTAAATTTGTTTAAATCTTTTGTTAGAAGCTATATGGAATATTGCACTTTTAAAGAAATAGCATAAAAAAGTGCATATTTTATTTTTTTAAATCTATACAATAAATATGGAGCACAAATATGGAGCATTGGGGCATCCTTTCATATCTTTATTTAAGCTGCTTCATAGAAATACATACTGTATGGTTTGGCAGAAAATTAAATCAAATCCACCATGACGTCTGAAACTGTATGATAAAAATAATTCAATTGGGGCTTTTTTAAACAATTTTTAGAAAAGGTGTTGAATGATTAATTTCCTTGAAACTTATTTATCTTGAAAAGAGAGATATTAACTAATCACCCAATCTTGTTAATTTAGATACTATATTATCCTACTCTTTCTGTGAACTGGGGTAAAAAAAAATAATACATTGAAGCTGAGGCTCTGCAATGTTTGTATGTAAAATTTTCATTTAACAATGTTTAACAGCACTTATTTACCTGGAGAATCGTACAAATGAGAAGATTATAAAATGCTCTTGCTTCTTTCACTAAATGAAGAACAAACAAGTAAATATAAGAATGTTATCACTTATAAAACTCATAAGATTCCAGTACACTTTATGCATTGTATCCCATCAATCTTCAAGTCAAGTTTTGTGTAAGATATAATCATGTCTCAACAGAAAATCTTTTAAATTATTTTCCTCTTTTTCAATCAATTGAAAAACTATCATATGGAAAATAATTGATATAAATTTTCTGTTCCCTGATTTTATTTATTGCTTACACAAAAATGACTTGAAGAACTGACTTATTTAAAGTCAAGTTCAAGCAGCTATTACTACTACTATCTTTTTTATCAGGTAAAATTAAATCCAAGTTGGTCATTTCCTTAGAGGTCAATATTTGTTTATATCCACATCAGGTTTGCAATGTCAAAAAATTTTCACAAAAAAATCTTTTGCAGATTATCTCGTTTGAGCAGTCATGGAATGCAGTTTATAATCAGCAGTCACTACAATATGAAAAGGTGTACCAGTAGGTAACCTATAAAAAGTTAGAAACAGCATATTTCAGAGTTCGGTTTTGTAAACATATAAATTTCACATATTCATTCAATTGAAACTAAATACTGAAGAATAAGTAATGCAAGAAATGTCACTTTTGTTTATTTTACATGCTTGTGAAAATAAATATTATTTGATTTGGTGCAGCAAAATATGCAAATGCTACACTAGACCCACAAAAAAGAAAAGTGTGCTGCAACTTTTTCATGAGGAAAAAAGTGCATTTTTGACAGTTAATAAAACTCCCTTTCTATTGTGAATTAAATTAAAACGAATATTTCCATGTGCATTGTTGGTTAATCCTCATGAGGAAGGCTCATAGCCAAATATGTGAAAGTTATATCATTTATATTAGTGTGTGATAAAAATTAGTATGGAAAATAAACGAAGATGAATTACCAATTTTTATTGTGATTTAAGTTGAACAAGTTAAAAAGGATGAGGGTTGAGATCTTAAAAAACTAGTTGAACCCTGCTACAGTTTTATGTGCCTGTCATAAGTCAAGAACCTCGTCAGATGATGTCTTATGTCATATCTTTAATGCTTTTTGTTATTTGAGCGGATGGGACTTTAATGGCAGATCTTTGATTGTTTCAATTTAATTTATTCCCAACTTATATAAATTTAGGATGGTTTAAAGCTTGGCATATTGTGAAGACACCTGTCTATTATTAAAGACTGTATGTTGCCTTCTACAGATCTTTTCTATTATGTATGTCAGTTAGGCTGATGACTCATTGATGCATACTAAACATCTTCATTTATTCAAACACCATTATTATGACATCATAAGCTTTCCAGATCCCATTTTATTTCACAGTATAAGAAAAATGTATCTATCCACATGAATAAAAGTTTTAAGAAGATTTAAGTCTTGGTGACCATCTTGGATGATATCAATGTAAGATTTTTTGCAATGCTAATGAAATGTTCAATTTGTCCTTATTTCAAATTGGTAAATGGACAAGTCAAACATGCCCTTATGAACTGTAAAGAACTTTCACAACATCTTGTCGAACTATTTTAGAATCTGGCATCATAGATTTTATAATTGTCCCTAAGCAAAACACTTTGTATCTTCCCAGCTTTGTACTATAGAATTATGAAATTATGGACTAGATAATATAAGTGATGCATTGGATACATTTCACCATATATATCCATTTATAAAAGATATATATGTTATTCATCAAGTTCATCTACATATCAAAAATATTAACAAACTGATCAAATATACTAGTCATAATACACAAGCATTACATTTTTGTGGAGCTCAATTGGTTGCTTACGAAAATGTATTGCTCCTGCAAGAAACATGACAAACATAATATATTTCCAGTATTTATTTTTGTACAACAATGCTGATAATAATACACAATTATATTTAACAACTAACTCTTTAAAAACAGTTACAAGCAAATTTTCATGAATTGGTCCAAGTAAGTTTTAGCAACTAAATTATTTAGGTACACTTTACCAACATATCATCTTGTTCCATAATAAGGTGTTAATTGTATTTGTTGCAATGACAAAAGATGAATTAGGTTAACAAAATTCTTCACCAAAACTTCCACCTCAGTGATTTTTTACACATTTTTTGGGGGTAAAATTGCTACTTAGCTGCATTTAAATTCTTAAGATTGATATTGTTATGTTTTGACAAATCTAAAAGAACCTCTTATTCTTGTCTATTATTGTTTAATTTTGCAAAACATATTCAAACTAGAAAACTGACATGTCAGCAACGGCCTGCTTGCACATTCTTATGTGAGGCAAAGAGACTTGATGCATACAAAGCAAATGTTCATAGGTTGTCAATTTTCATAAATTTTACCACCAGCAATTCATTCAGGATGTGTTCTCCATTAATATATGTTTTGTTAAAATCCAAGCATTTTGGTGGGCATTTTCGTAAATGGTTGGCAACCAATAATTTTAAGACAGAGAATCATTTATCATTTTTCTAACAAAAACTAAGTTTTTAACACAATTTTGACTTCAGGAAACATTTTGGAATGGATATTTTGCCTAAATTATATATCAATTTTTTTATGACATCCTATCACAAGAAGATGCTTCTGAAAATTGATTTTTGAACAAAGAGTAATTTTTTACCAAGTTTTTTAATATATGTGTATCTATATATTATGCTCAACAACTGTGCAAAATTTCATTGGCCTCCTATCTATACTTTTGCAGTTTTTGGGCTCTATATAAAGTAAGTAGAGTGAATTGTTTACATTTAAAATATAAGATTAAACATGAAATTGAACGCATCGTTTTTGAATGCTCACAGTAGTTGGAGAAAAGATGGTCAGGACTACTGTCTGTGCACATTTAGCTGAATCAATCAGATGCTTTAAACAATATTAAAATTTAACAATAAAATGTATATTTTCTGCAAATTCTCATATATATGTTAAAAGATGTAATTAATTAATTGACTTATATGAATTGGTAGCAAAATTCAATACAAATGTCCATTTTGAAAGGCTTATTGATCTTAAAGATATTCACAATTTCCTATTTTCCCAATTAAAAAAAAATGCACTATGAGAATTTTGACTTTCCTAAATAAAGTTAAAGTTAATTGTACTTGTATCTCCTTCATTCAAAACACTCAAATTTTAAGTTTGAACCTCTTAAAGAATTTTTTTTTTTTTAGGTTTAGCACCAAATCATTTTTATCATATTTAACCATTAAAAAAAACTGTATTTAATTTAATTAATTTAAAACCTGTGGCCGACAGACCATTAATTCACTACTTTAGACTTTGTAAAAATAGCCTGTTTAAACAATAAACTAAATAATAGGCTTCAAGGACCCTATGTTCATATTTTTCTAAATATAACAATTATGCATTAGATAATTCAAGACAACTAGAGTTCTAATTTCCCAGTAGTTTCAAACGAGATGATTATTAATTTGCTATTTTACGGATGAAGAAGTGATGGCAATATCTCACATTAGTCACGTAATTATCATTACATGAATACAGATCAAACCCTTTAAAAATAAAATGGATCATATGTATAATAAACACAAAGGATAGCCGAGATCTGTCTTTGGCTAGCACTTTAAAATGTTATATAAACTCCTAACCTGCAAAAACATACAATTCAAATTGTTATGCAGTAAAAACAGTTAAGACAGATTTTAAACTGTACATTTCAAAAAGTAAACATGTTTAGGAATAGATTTTAAATAAAAAACATTATAACATTGATTCATTCTGGGGGTGGTGGAGGTTTGGGATACTCAATAGGAGGCCCTGGTGGCAGAGGGGGTGGTGCTAAATCCGGCAGTGGTGGCTGCACCATTGGAGGAGGAGGAGGCACCATTGGTGGAGGTGGCACCATGGATTGAGCCATATACATATGATTCCAATCCATGGTTGATTGATATGCATTTCCATCGTACATCTGACCTGGTGGAGTTTGCTGGAATTGCTGGTATGATGCCATTGTGTATCCAGCATTTCCTGCAAAAGTATAATCACCACCAGGTTGAGGTTGATAATAAGATATTGGCAATGATGTCATTCCCTGTGCATCAAAAGCTTGTGACATTTCTGATGTCATCATTCCTTGTGATGATGTATAATAAGGTTCAGATACCTGTGATGTCATCATTTCTTGTGATGTATAAAAAGTTTCAGATACCTGTGATGTCATCATTCCTTGTGATGATGTATAATAAGGTTCAGATACCTGTGATGTAATCATTCCTTGTGATGTATAAAAAGGTTCAGACACCTGTGATATCATCATTCCTTGTGATGATGAATAAAGAGGTTCAGATACCTGTGATGTCATCATTCCTTGTGATGATGTATAATAAGGTTCAGATACCTGTGATGTCATCATTGCCTGTGAAGTCTGATACATATCGTTTTGTGGAGTTACCACCTGATTGTCAGTACTCTGTGCTGATGTTGTTTTTTGTACATTTTGTACAGCACATTTCTGACTTTTTGACTTGGCAGTTGTATTTGACACTGACGATTTAACAGACGTCACAACCAAGTCTGAAGATGTTGTTGCCTGTGTCTTTCCATTTATCATACCGTATGCATCAAATCTGTGTTTTTTGGTACTCTGTTTTTTAGGTTGATGTTTACCTGTGGATAGATTTCCTGTCTGCTCCTGTAGTTTTTGGCGTTGCTGCTCAACTGTATCCTGCAACTGTCAATAAAACAAAATTATTAGTTCTCAATCCTTCCCAAGTCCTCAAATCTATTTACTGGTACATGATGAAAACATACAATTTACTAGCAAGTATTAGTAGGATAAGATACAAACTACACACACTCATGAAACATTTTGTAAATTGCAGTGAACATAATATTCTCATGAATGCAATACTTTATAATACTTTCATCAATTAATATAGTATTTTGTGTATAAATAGGGTGCTGTTTAAATAAAAAAATGTACCATTGAGGGATACAATAATTTTTTATCCTTTGTGAGTCTCTGATACTGGTATGTAGATACAGATTCAGTCAGATAGAAACTTAGTTATGATTGACGTTATTGAGGTTTGAATTGGGGTAAAACGCAACTTATATTCCAGAGCTGTTTCTGAAATATATACAGACATCTCTGTGAAGTTATCCAATCACAAAAAACTCATTTGTAATATGTAATATTTTGTATTGTTTCTTGATTTTACTATGAGATTGTAGAGCAAGTAAAGACAGTTGTGGATTATGCCAGTTATAGTCTGTAAGTTGTTGATATATGAAATCTGCATGCTTCAATGCATTGATGGAGCATTATCAACATGTACATATACAGCATTTATGCTTAAGATGATGCTAGGGGCCATCTTTCACCTAGGTGTGAGCTCAATTTTAAAATTCTTATTGTGATTTTGAGATGATAAACAGCCAATATAATTCTCTTTTTTCATACAGGGTTTTTTTCAAGTGCAAGTATGGTCTTTGTGTCATGAAATAATACACAAAACCCCTTCTTTTTTGTTAAACAGATAAATTAAGTGCAATATGTCACTTCTGTGAATTCTGTGAATGAGTTTGTAAGTTAATATTCAGGGGCAGGTCAAATAAAATGTTAGAACTAGTACTGACCTCTTAGGATGCTTTTCTGTTTGTTTTCCCTAAGGCATAATCAGTATGAAATAATCAAGGACAAACTGAATCAATGGATACACAACCAATACTCACCTCTTTCAATATTTTCAAAAAATTGATATTCCAGAACAAGCTGAATCAAAGGTTAGAACCAGTACTCATTTGTTTGAATATGTTTGAGCAAATATTCCAAGACAGTCTGGAACTCGAAGTTACACACAGTACTCACCTTTTTTTAACGTTTTTCAGTTGCTATTAGAGGACTGGTGGAATAGAGGTTAGAACTAGTACTAACCTCTTGTGGTGTTTTAAGCTTATATTCCAGGACAAGGTGAATCAACGATTTGAACCAGTACTCATCTTTTTGGATATCTTTTAGTTGGTATTTCTTGACAAACAAAGTCAAAAGTTTGAACCAGTACTTACCACTTTGGATAAATTTTCAACAGATATTCCAGGACAGGCTGAATCAAGGTAAGAATCAAGTCTCACCTCTTTAAATATGTTTTAGTCCATATTCCAGGACAAGCTAATCAAAGGACTCACCTCTTTAGATATGTTTTTGAGTTGATATTCCAGGAGGGCTTGAGTCAGGGCATTAGACACCTGTAATGCCATGGCTGCTTCATCCTCTGAACTGATCATAGATTTGGACTACAACAGAAACCATTGTTTAAAGTTTTTTTTACTTGACTGTGTAATTTGATTATTTTTTCTTCATATCTATTCATTTTTATAAAATTTTAAAGCACCGTTATTTTTTGTCTGTTGAAGAAAAAGGCTAGGGTTGACAAACCTCTGACAAGCAACTGACAGTTTATTATAAAAATCTAGAGGCTCTTAAGAGCCTGTGTCACTCACCTAGGTCTATGTGCTTCTTCAACAATGGATACTCTCCATCTTTGTGATCTAGTCTTGCTGATCATTTTTGCTTACTGGTATTTAAGTTTCTATCTATCTAATATAGTTTTTCAGATAGAAGGCAACAAAGCAAAAAAAATGTAAAAATCTTTATTAAAGATAAAAACTCCAAAAAGGGGTCAACAGACAATTCAAACCATGTTGACTTAATGTAGATCTTGTCTTGCTGATTAAGGAGAACAACTCCAATAAGGGGTCTTCAGACAGTTCAAACCATGTTGACTTTGTCTTGCTGATTATTTTTGCCTATTTCAGTTTCTATCTATCTATTATACTTTATCAGACATTAGGCAAAACGCAAAAAATTAGTAAAAATCGTCATTAAATGGCAATAACTCTAATAAGAGGTCATCAGACGATTTCAACCATGCTGACTTATTTGTAGAACTTATCTTGCTGATCATTTTTGCTATATAAAGTTTCTCTCTATTATAATTTTCATGAAAATAGGCAAAAATTTTAAAAGTTGGTAAAATTCGTCATTTAAGGGCAATAACTCCTATAAAAAGTCGTCTGACAGTATGGAAGTAAACGGACAATAGTAAGATCTCATCATTCCAAACATTTCTGCCCTTGTCAGATTTCCTCTATTTATAGTAGTTTTCAAAATAATAGACAAAACTTGCATATTACCTCCATGTTCTATTTTTAGCCATCTTGGTTGGCAGGCGGGGTCATTGGACACATTTTTAAAACTAGATACCCTAATGATGATTGAGGCCAAGTTTGGTTGAATTTGGATCAGTATTTCCAGAGAAGATTTTTGTAAAAGTTAACAACGATGGACGACGACGGAACGCCAAGTGATGAGAAAAGCTCACATGGCGCGTTGGGCCAGGTGAGCTTAAAAGTCTGTGTTTAATCACATAGGCAAGACTATCACAACTTATATGTATTGATGTGTTTCACAGATAGATCTGTAGGGAAAACTTTCTATATTTATAACCACTTTTCCCAACTACAACATGTATATGCTTCTAAGGAATCATAAGTCATCCAAATATATTACATGATTCAATGACTTTGTGTATGACATCATGAATTCCTAAATAATCAACAGATATATTTTTCACTCATAGACCTTTTTAATCATCATGAATTGTGCTTACCAAAGTAGACATTAGTTCTTGTACTTGTGGTGGCAGGTGTGGCTCACTTGATGTTGCTTCAGGCTGAAAGAAATCAAATAAAAGTTCACCATTGATTCCAGCATAATATGACAGTAATCTAAGGACTGTTTCTTAACTTATCATTGCCAGTGATGACAAATAATTACATTAGAAAGATATTTCATTATATACCATAACTTTGATTGGTCGACAACAATCATGATTGAGGTATTCAAAAATTATCTTTTTTCCAAAAAAATGCAGCATCTATGAAGTGCTCTCCATGACAACATTACAACATATGGGAAAAAGTATGGTAAGTACATGTATTTATCATCTTTTAAGACTGACAAAAAAAAACTGATCTGCAAGGTCATCTGTATGCATTTATACATTATGTACTGTATTAAAAACCTAGGTAAAGCTGACAAGGAAAGGCATCACTCTACTAATGAAAGCTGTATTTTTATATAGCCTAGTTGGCAGAGTGGTCTAGGTGGTGGGACACAGTGCAGGCCGAGTTGCCACCATGTCACAGATGCATGGGTTTTAATCCCATTGAATGAAGAAAAAAAAATGCAGATCTAACATTGTTGAGTAAAATTTGAGACCAGTACATCATTTTAAGTAAATATTATAATAAACTGTTGACATAGATATGTCTCGCCTGTCAGCATAAAATTTAGAAAAAGACATCTGATGGACAGCAACATTGCTTATTAAATTTAGTTGCTGGATCATGATCTAGTGGGCAGGGCCTCAAATGGTTGACAAACTGAGATGAAAAGACAGTAATGTAACTTTATAGAAAATACTGTTGTCTATTGTAAGTAGTTCCTATCAATTTAACTTAAGCAGAAAACTTAACATTGAAAATTGCTAATTAATTGAAAGTGGCTGGACCATGACCTATTGGGCAGGGCCTCAAAATAGTTGTCAAACTGATATAAACTGAAAGTAATGCAACTTCATATAAAGTATCATTGATATATCACAAGTAGATTCTATTAAACTAACTTCAGCAGAAAACTATCATTGAAAATTGCTAATTGATTCAAAGTCACTGGACTCTGTGCCTCAAAATAGTTGTCAAACTGATATGTACTGATAGTAATGCAACTTTTCATTAAATATCAATGATCTATCACAAGTAGTTCCTACCAAACAAACTTAAGCAGAAAACTTAACAATTGTTGACGCTGACGTCGCCGAAGCCATCGATGGAAAAGCAATCCCAATGTCTCGCTTTCCGCGACGAAAATGTGCCTTAAACCTATTTATTTGAGATTTTATTAATGTAGTAGTTTATTTGTAATTTTATACACCACCCAAGTTGGGGTTATATATCTCTTTGGAAAAAGCATACAAATTTTCATAGTAAGATATTGTGTTAAAAAGAGTCAAGAAATTGACTCATTTGAAAAATTGGTTTCACTATGTTTAACTACTGTCCCTACTTTTAGAATTTGTGAATGCTTGACAGTAAAAGCCTTCCTAGGAAAGATTACCTAATATCTTAATTTCAAGGTTCAACTGGAAAACAAACTAACCTAGTGTCCCATTCATAAAAACACACTATCAGCTCTAATATCTAGAAATTTCTAAAACATTTGAGGTCTTGGATCAAATTATAAGAGTAGTTCATTCTTTAATGATAGTCCAAACTTCTGGTCTTCTGGCCAAGTATTACATGACAATATAAACTTCTGGTCTTCTGGCCAAGTTTTACATGATAATATAAACTTCTGGTCTTATGGCAAAGTTTTACATGATAATATAAACTTCTGGTCTTCTGGCCAAGTTTTACATGATACTATAAACTTCTGGTCTTCTGGCCAAGTTTTACATGATAATATAAACTTCTGGTCTTCTGGCCAAGTTTTACATGATAATATAAACTTCTGGTCTTCTGGCTTGGTTTTACATGATACTATAAACTTCTGGTCTTCTGGCCAAGTTTTACATGATAATATAAACTTCTGCCAAGTTTTACATGATAATATAAACTTCTGGCCAAGTTTTACATGATAATATAAACTTCTGGTCTTCTGGTCAAGTTTTACATGATAATATAAACTTCTGGCCAAGTTTTACATGATAATATAAACTTCTGGTCTTCTGGCCAAGTATTACATGACAATATAAACTTCTGGTCTTCTGGCCAAGTTTTACATGATAATATAAACTTCTGGTCTTCTGGCCAAGTATTACATGACAATATAAACTTCTGGTCTTCTGGCCAGGTTTAACATGATACTATAAACTTCTGGTCTTCTGGCCAAGTTTTACATGATAATATAAACTTCTGGCCAAGTTTTACATGATAATATAAACTTCTGGCAAAGTTTTACATGATAATATAAACTTCTGGTCTTCTGGCCAAGTTTTACTGATAATATAAACTTCTGGTCAAGTTTTACATGATAATATAAACTTCTGGTCCTCTGGTCAAGTTTTACATGATAATATTAACTTCTGGCCAAGTTTTACATGATAATATAAACTTCTGGTCTTATGGCAAAGTTTTACATGATAATATAAACTTCTGGTCTTCTGGCCAAGTTTTACATGATACTATAAACTTCTGGTCTTCTGGCCAAGTTTTACATGATACTATAAACTTCTGGTCTTCTGGCCAAGTTTTACATGATACTATAAACTTCTGGTCTTCTGGCCAAGTTTTACATGATAATATAAACTTCTGGTCTTCTGGCCAGGTTTTACATGATACTATAAACTTCTGGTCTTCTGGCCAAGTTTTACATGATAATATAAACTTCTGGCCAAGTTTTACATGATAATATAAACTTCTGGCCAAGTTTTACATGATAATATAAACTTCTGGTCTTCTGGCCAAGTTTTACATGATAATATAAACTTCTGGCCAAGTTTTACATGATAATATAAACTTCTGGTCTTCTGGTCAAGTTTTACATGATAATATAAACTTCTGGCCAAGTTTTACATGATAATATAAACTTCTAGTCTTCTGGCCAAGTATTACATGACAATATAAACTTCTGGTCTTCTGGCCAAGTTTTACATGATAATATAAACTTCTGGTCTTCTGATCAAGTATTACATGACAATATAAACTTCTGGTCTTCTGGCCAGGTTTAACATGATACTATAAACTTCTGGTAATCTGGCCAAGTTTTACATGATAATATAAACTTCTGGTCAAGTTTTACATGATAATATAAACTTCTGGTCTTCTGGCCAAGTTTTACATGATAATATAAACTTCTGGCCAAATTTTACATGATAATATAAACTTCTGGCAAAGTTTTACATGATAATATAAACTTCTGGTCTTCTGGCCAAGTTTTACATGATAATATAAACTTCTGGCCAAGTTTTACATGATAATATAAACTTCTGGTCTTCTGGCCAAGTTTTACATGATAATATAAACTTCTGGTCTTCTGGCCAAGTTTAACATGATAATATAAACTTCTGGCCAAGTTTTACATGATAATATAAACTTCTGGTCTTCTGGTCAAGTTTTACATGATAATATAAACTTCTGGCCAAGTTTTACATGATAATATAAACTTCTAGTCTTCTGGCCAAGTATTACATGACAATATAAACTTCTGGTCTTCTGGCCAAGTTTTACATGATAATATAAACTTCTGGTCTTCTGATCAAGTATTACATGACAATATAAACTTCTGGTCTTCTGGCCAGGTTTAACATGATACTATAAACTTCTGGTCTTCTGGGCAAGTTTTACCTATAATATAAACTTCTGGTCAAGTTTTACATGATAATATAAACTTCTGGCCAAGTTTTACATGATAATATAAACTTCTGGTCTTCTGGCCAAGTTTTACATGATAATATAAACTTCTGGCCAAGTTTTACATGATAATATAAACTTCTGGTCTTCTGGTCAAGTTTTACATGATAATATAAACTTCTGGCCAAGTTTTACATGATAATATAAACTTCTGGTCTTCTGGTCAAGTATTACATGACAATATAAACTTCTGGTCTTCTGGCCAAGTTTTACATGATAATATAAACTTCTAGTCTTCTGGCCAAGTATTACATGACAATATAAACTTCTGGTCTTCTGGCCAAGTTTTACATGATAATATAAACTTCTGGTCTTCTGATCAAGTATTACATGACAATATAAACTTCTGGTCTTCTGGCCAGGTTAAACATGATACTATAAACTTCTGGTCTTCTGGGCAAGTTTTACCTATAATATAAACTTCTGGTCAAGTTTTACATGATAATATAAACTTCTGGCCAAGTTTTACATGATAATATAAACTTCTGGTCTTCTGGCCAAGTTTTACATGATAATATAAACTTCTGGCCAAGTTTTACATGATAATATAAACTTCTGGTCTTCTGGTCAAGTTTTACATGATAATATAAACTTCTGGCCAAGTTTTACATGATAATATAAACTTCTGGACTTCTGGCCAAGTATTACATGACAATATAAACTTCTGGTCTTCTGGCCAAGTTTTACATGATAATATAAACTTCTGGTCTTCTGGCCAAGTTTTACATGACAATATAAACTTCTGGTCTTCTGGCCAAGTTTTACATGATAATATAAACTTCTGGTCTTCTGGCAAAGATCTACATTGAGATTTACTGAATTATTAATATTTGTAGGTAGTGAAGAAAATAACACTCTGACTTACCTTGACACTTTTACTATTGGAAGATTCAGATAATGTTTTTGGAGCAGAGTGGTCAGAAGTGGTATAACTTGGTAAATCCATTGACTGTTGGTCCATTGTCACCTCAGGAGTTGAAGCTGTAGGTGGTTGAATCTGGTAATTCTCTGATGTAACAGTAGCTGAAATAAGTTGAGATATGTAAAAGTGATGAACACAGTCTGTCATGAAGAATCTCTCTAATGCCTTTCAAAGAAGACAAATGATGGAAGAGACTATATAATATTTCTGCAAATGTTAATTCTATAGCATGAATTTGTGAATCTATTTCATCCTAAACCCAGATATTCATTTACAACCCCTCCCCCCACTTGAAAATGTATGAATATGGACCTTAACAAAAATTAAAATGTATCTCAATAAAATATATCTCAAGACAAAATTTCTGAATGCATTTACATTAGATCATTTTTTCCTTTGACCAAATAGAATTCCTCTCCTATTTTGTTTAGCTTAAAACAAGATATTTGAAAACAGAGATGGATTAATCAACCATCATAAAGATTCCTATCTCCATTTATCCATATTCTAATGGGATATTTTTCATTTATGATAAACTTTATCCAAAACTTTTTTCTTTTCTAACATCACTTATTTCAGATGATTTTTTTTAATTCATTTTTGAAATATATGCATCAAAATAAAAACAAAATTAATTGAATATTGTTTCAAATAGATCAATGACTATTACCAATAAGAACTTAATAAACTTATTTTATAGATCATATATCACCGAAACTTTCCTACCTTGATAGGGCGGCTTTAAAATAGATTTAGATTTTTTCCACTTTAAGAATTCTTGAAACAGCTCTTCATCAGTCAATTCTCCGTCTGTTTTTCTCTTCATAAAAGACCTCTCTTCCTCTGTCAGACCAGTTCTGACTTCTTCTACAGGACTTTTGGTTCTACTGTGGCCATAGTCCACGACAACTACTGGTTTGATAGAGACTTCTCTTGAAAGGTATCTTGAAGGTTGATAGTATGGGTCATCATGTGACCTAAAACCTAAAACAATTCCAATCAAGTTCTTTTAGTTCTTGTCAAAATTTCAAAAAAGTTCACTAACATTTAGACTACCAGTATATCAATTAAACTTATTGCTTTACACAGTCCAGAACTAAATAGATATTTGAACAAAAATCACCAAAGGGATTTTAAAGAGGAGAATCTATTTGCATCAACACATAAATATTACATGTTTTCTATGCCAAAAATAATTGACCTACATATTCAACCTATGTTACAGGCTTTTTCCTCTGACTAGTGGGGATTATAGTAAAAGTCTGATAAAAATAAACAGCTTTTTATGAAAAAAAGTTTTTTCTTGGACCCTCAACAACAACTAGACATTTTTCATCATTAAAATGATCTTGAGGTGATTATTTGTATATTAAGCAAATTGAATGGTTGTACTGTACTAATATGGTTTTGACTGAGAAGCTCAACTTCAGCCTGAACTTTGTTCTTAAAAATAAATAGATCACCATATCTTCACATTGACTATGCATCTAAATGAGCATTATTGGTCAAGATATTTGATGACAATTAGAACTGAATTTGATGTATCAATGGTAAGAAATTGTTATCATTGGTATCTCATGATTCCACTATTAATTTATATATCTAACAATCTTGTATCTTCACTAAGATTTTAGTATTGTGTCAGACTTTGTCATGAGCATGGTTATCTTTTCTAAGATTTCATTTAATGTAAACCAACTAACTTCAATTGGCAGATTTATTTGTGTTGACTTTCAGGAATAGATAAATAATGCAAATATAAATTCTGTTCTGAACATGAATACACCAAAAATGCTACAAAATCCCCAAATAAGTCAGAGTGAAATTGGCTAGACAGCACAAAATGTGAAAATAAATGGGTTTACAGCATAAGATGTCTCAGTTTTCTGGTTTCAAAATAAGATGTGTCAATGTTCTGACAATTTCTTTCTGAACTAATTTAGCATTTTCAGTTGCCACCAATAAAAATTGGCTGCCAGAAAATAGCCAATACAATTTATTATTAAAAATGGCTTGAAACACCAATCAATCAATTAATCTACAATAATTGTATGGCTGAGTTATCTCAATTTTTTGTCATCTGCATGTGTAGCTTTAAATTGAATAAGATTCAATTAAATTATTTCAATTTTTGTTTTTAGCAACACGTGTTTTTTTTTCTCTCAGTTTTTTTTTCTCTCAGTTTTTTGCTATCACAATGAGCTGTTAAAATACTTTGGAAGGTTGGAGTTTTATAAATGGTGACCCCTGGCATGTCCTTCATAAAGTAATTTCATGTTTTCTGACAAACCTCTTCTTCCGTAATAGGGATCATCCATTGGTAATCTTCTATCTACAAATATAAAATGATGAAAATTTTAGTTTATATTACCTTTGTTAGTGAGTGAATGCTGGTATATTTCATGGTTTTAAATCATGAAATGGAGATCTATTGATGCCCAATATAGGCCTAACAATTCAAAGTATATAAAATAGTGGCCAAATAAGCATTAATGGTGTTTGAGTACATTAATATTTTCTAAATCATACCTTTCTGGTGCTTTAAAGTTCAATGCATACAAAGTGGCTTATATCTAAAACTGAATCATTTGATACTGTAAATTCAGAAATTATTGTGAGGTTTTTATTAATGTGAATAATGCCACTGGATGAGCATCGCAATAATAAGAACTCACATTCTGATAGGAGAAGCATAGATCTGTATGCAGATTTTTTTGAAATCACAATAATTAAACTCGTATTTTTGTCTATTCTTGAAAAATCACAATAATAAATGCACGCAATAATTTCTGAATTTACAGTATTTATCTTAAAAGGCTAGCCACAGTTTCTAGACTTATGCAATTTGGATAAAAAGATTTAGAACATTAAGAAATATATAATCAAAAGCTTTATTTAAAATCCAAACATATAAAAAACAGTACAGTGCTCAGTATATATAATAGCAAAAATTAATTTTGGTCAGAATAGGCAGCCAATTTTTTCAAAATCATAAACCATCGAGGAGTAGCCCAAAAGTTGGTCCTAAAATAAGTTTTCTGAACCAGATTACGTAGCTATGATGTCATTATGTATACAAACAAGGCCAAAATTCAAAATTAAAAAAAATGGTTTGTTTGCCATAACCTGACCAACCGGATTGAAACCCTCCTAACTGTAAAGTTTCTATTGAAAAAAAATTGTGAAGTTATTTTTATTATCTTTATGATTTCCGGATTTTTTTCGGTACTTTTCTGTATCCAGTCGTCTTTTCCTCTTCCACTTTGGTCCCGGTCGCAAAGGTGCTTTGAATGTTAACCTGGAAGCCTGCATATACTCATGGTTTAAAGCGCTAAACAGATTCGGATGTCAGAGGTTTCATTTGAAAATTTTGTCCAGACATGGACGCCAACAAGAACTTTGACAAGCTGAAACAAAAATTTGCGGCCATTGAAGTCGAACCTGGACAGAATAACAAGTCACTCTTTGTTCCAGCATTTTTGTCTTACAAGACAAGAATTATTGCATAAAAAAACGCCAATATCGGCATTATTTGACCGACACTTGGGAGGATGTTTACAATGAAAATATAGAAGGAGAATCCTTTACAAGTAAAAGAAGCGACCAGATCACAGTGGAACTTTGTAAAACAAATAATTTTACAGACACATTCATGCCAGATCCTATCAAATAAACACAGAGAAATCTCTTTTCATGTGCAATTGTCAGAGTTCTTTTCAGTGGGTTGTGTTCAAACTATTTTAATTACTTCTACAAAGTCTGAGTCTTTTTCATTTTTATAACCTTCAAAAGGATAGAAGGGTATTTATTGTAAATAGTTACTGTTTAAAATTGTAATTTTGCATTTTCTTCATATATTCATTGAAAAGCAAATACTGTTGCCACTATCAGAGAGGTTTAATACATTTATGATGTACATGTCCAGAAAGCAATATCTAGTCATACTTAAGCAATATACATGTACTACTAAGACACTTTCAGTACTAGTAGTATTGTCCAGAAATCAATATGCCATATAATGCTTATAAATCAATATCTAGTCATTTTCATTTAATATGCAAAGACTGCATGTCTGTCAGACATATTAAAATTGTATGTCGAGTATAAAATATTTCTGGTCATTTTCATTTTTAGACATTTGTCAGAGGTAAAATGCTTTACTACTGTGAAACTGTTCTTGTAATTACTGCTACATGTAGTTTTGTAAAGTTGTATGACTTGTCAGACATGAATGCAAGCCTCTTGAATAATTGATTATAAAGTTTGCAATAAATCTGTTTACACATTAAAATGTCATATTTCATTGCAGGGAGGCACAGGTATAAGACAACACAACAATACTACCAAGAACTATACACAGGAAACATGTATCCCACATTCCTCAGACTTAAAGTTTATACTGCAATTTCAGACAAGTTACTGACAGTTATAAGACTTAATAAAATGCTTCGCTGGGCGCAGCTTGATACGACCGCAGAGGTCGAACCCTGAACAGTTGGGGCAAGTATGGACACAACATTCAAGCTTGATACAGCTCTGAATTTGGATTGTGATTAAATATTTGACACAGCATAGGTTTCTGACACAGAAAGAATGTGGTCTAAGAACTTCAATTTTTTTAATTTACCTATTATGGTCCAATGTCCAAAATCAAAATACATGGTTAGATTCAGCATATCAAAGAACCCCATATATTCAATTTTTGTTGAAATCAAACAAAGTTTAATTTTGGACCCCAATTTGGACCAACTTGAAAACTGGGCCAAAAATCTAAAATCTAAATACATGTTTAGATTCAGCATATCAAAGAACCCCCATATATTCAATTTTTGTTGAAATCAAACAAAGTTTAATTTTGGACCCCAATTTGGACCAACTTGAAAACTGGTCCCATAATCAAAAATCTAAACACATGTTTAGATTCAGCATATCAAAGTACCCCAAGAATTCAATTTTTGTTAAAATCAAACTAAGTTTAATTTTGGACCCTTTGGACCTTAATGTAGACCAATTTAAAAAACGGGACCCAAAATTAAAAATCTAAAAACACGGTTAGATTTGGCATATCAAAGATCCCCAATAATTCAATTTTTGATGAAATCAAACAAAGTTTAATTTTGGACCCTTTTGACCTCAATATGAACCAATTTGATAGCAGGCCCACAAAATAAAAAATCTAAATACATGGTAAGATTCAGCATATCAAAGAACCCCATATATTCAATTTTTGTTGAAATCAAACAAAGTTTAATTTTGGACCCCAATTTGGACCAACTTGAAAACTGGGCCAAAAATCTAAAATCTAAATACATGTTTAGATTCAGCATATCAAAGAACATCATATATTCAATTTTTGTTGAAATCAAACAAAGTTTAATTTTGGACCCCAACTTGGACCAACTTGAAAACTGGTCCCATAATCAAAAATCTAAACACATGTTTAGATTCAGCATATCAAAGAACCCCAAAAATTCAATTTTTGTTAAAATCAAACTAAGTTTAATTTTGGACCCTTTGGACCTTAATGTAGACCAATTTAAAAAACGGGACCCAAAATTAAAAATCTAAATACACGGTTAGATTTGGCATATCAAAGAACCCCAATAATTAAATTTTTGATGAAATCAAACAAAGTTTAATTTTGGACCCTTTTGACCTCAATATGAACCAATTTGATAGCGGGCCCACAAATAAAAAATTTAAATACATGGTAAGATTCAGCATATCAAAGAACCCCATATATTCAATTTTTGTTGAAATCAAACAAAGTTTAATTTTGGACCCCAATTTGGACCAACTTGAAAACTGGGCCAAAAATCTAAAATCTAAATACATGTTTAGATTCAGCATATCAAAGAACCCCCATATATTCAATTTTTGTTGAAATCAAACAAAGTTTAATTTTGGACCCCAACTTGGACCAACTTGAAAACTGGGCCCATAATCAAAAATCTAAACACATGTTTAGATTCAGCATATCAAAGAACCCCAAGAATTCAATTTTTGTTAAAATCAAACTAAGTTTAATTTTGGACCCTTTGGACCTTAATGTAGACCAATTTAAAAAACAGGACCCAAAATTAAAAATCTAAATACACGGTTAGATTTGTCATATCAAAGAACCCCAATAATTCAATTTTTGATGAAATCAAACAAAGTTTAATTTTGGACCCTTTTGACCTCAATATGAACCAATTTGATAGCGGGTCCACAAATAAAAAATCTAAATACATGGTTAGATTCAGCATATCAAAGAACCCCAAGAATTCAATTTTTGATGAAATCAAACAAAGTTTAATTTTGGACCCTTTTGACCTCAATGTGGACAAAGTTGATAACGGGGCCCAAAAATCAAAAATCTAAATACATGGTTAGATTCAGCATATCAAAGAACCCCATATATTCAATTTTTGTTGAAATCAAACAAAGTTTAATTTTGGACCCCGATTTGGACCAACTTGAAAACTGGGCCCATAATAAAAAATCTAAATACATGTTTAGATTCAGCATATCAAAGTACCCTAAAAATTCAATTTTTGTTAAAATCAAACTAAGTTTAATTTTGGACCCTTTTGACCTTAATGTAGACCAATTTGAAAACGGAACCAAAAATTAAGAATCTAAATACACGGTTAGATTCGGCATATCAAAGAACCCCAATAATTCAATTTTTGATGAAATCAAACAAAGTTAAATTTTGGACCCTTTGGACCTCAATGTGGACAATTTAAAAACGGGGCCAAAAATCCAAAAACTTAATACACGGTTAGATTCAGCATATTAAAGAACCCCAAGAATTCAAGAATAAAACCCCATTGAAATTGATCAAGAAATAAGCAATTTATACGAAGTATCTTCTTTTGCACAATACTGTGCAATTGAATATTTCTTGCTATTGTGCAATACTGTACAATTGACAATTTCTTGCTATTGCGCAATATTGTGCTATTGGATATTTCTTGCTATTGCGCAATACTGTGCAATTGAAGATTTCTTGCTATTGCGCAATACTGTGCAATTGAAGATTTCTTGCAATTGTGCAATACTGTGCAATTGAAAATTTCTTGCTATTGCACAATACTTATTAAATAATAATTTACACATCCTGTTTGGTGTGTATCTCCTACCATATCATTATTATTTGCTTTTAAATATTAATCAGAAATAACCAACTTAAAATGGAAAATTTTAAAAGAAAAAAAAAAGGAAAAAAAGAAAAAAAAAGAAAAAAAAAAATCCCCCCCCCCCAAATTTTTTGAACCCCCTTATGATTCATCACCCCTAAACTCAAATCCAGCCTTCCCTTTGTGGTATGGTACCTTGCAGTTCAATTTCAGAGAGATCCATACACTTGAACACAAGTTATTGTCTGGAAACTAGAAAAATGCTTATTTTTGGCCCCTTTTTGGCCCCCAATTCCTAAACGTTTCGGGCAATTACCCCCAAACTCAATTCCAGCTTTCCCTTTGTGATATGGAACCTTGTAGTACAATTTCAGAAATATCCAAACACTTACACACAAGTTATTGTCATGAAACTAGAAAAATGCTTGTTTTTTGCCCCTTTTTTGGCCCCTAATTCCTAAAATTTTGAGGCAATTACCCCCAAAATCAATTACAGCCTTCCCTTTGTGATATGGAACCTTGTGGTACAATGTCAGAGAGATCCATACACTTACACACAAGTTATTGTCTGGAAGTTACAAAAATGCTTATTTTTGGCCCCTTTTTGGCCCCTAATTCCTTAACTGTTGGTACCATAACCCCCAAAATCAATCCCCACCTTCCTTTCGTGGTATTGAACCTTATGGTAAAATTTCATGGAGATCCATTCACTTAAACTAAAGTTAGAGTGCGAAAAACAATGCGTCTTCGGACGACGCCGGACGACGCCAGACGACGACGACGCCGACGTCATACCAATATACGACCAAAAAATTTTCAATTTTTGCGGTCGTATAAAAAATCACACTAAAGAACAAAGACAATTTCTTTTACTGAGTTTATTAAATAGTCCACTATATTTTTCAAAAAAAGATCATCCTACGGTTCCTATCAGTCAGGCGTGGAATTCATGTAGTTCAGCAGGATGATAATAAAATGCTCCGCTGGGGCGCAGCTTGATACAACTGCAGAGGTCGAACCCTGAACAGTTGGGCCAAGTATGGACACAACATTCAAGCTTGATACAGCACTGAATTTGGATTGTAATTAAATATTTGACACAGCATAGGTTACTGACACAGAATGAAAGTGGTCTAAGAACTTAAATATTTTTAATTTACCTATTCAAACCATATCATTATTATTTGCTTTTATATATAAATCAGAAATAACCAATTTAAAATGGAAAATTTTAAAGAAAAAAAAAGGAAAAACAAATCCCCCCCCCCCCAAATTTTTTGAACCACCTTATGATTCATCACCCCCAAACTCAATCCCAGCCTTCCCTTTGTGGTATGGTACCTTGCAGTACAATTTCAGAGAGACCTATACACTTGAACACAAGTTATTGTCTGGAAACTAGAAAAATGCTTGTTTTTTGGCCCCTTTTTAGGCCCCAAATTCCTAAACATTTAGGGCAATTACCCCTAAACTCAAACCCAGCTTTCCCTTTGTGATATGGAACCTTGCAGTACAATTTCATAACGATCCATACACTTACACACAAGTCATTGTCCTGAAACTAGAAAAATGCTTGTTTTTTTGCCCTTTTATGGCCCCTAATTCCTAAAATTTTGAGGGAATTACCCCCAAAATCAATCCAAGCCTTCCCGTTGTGGTATGGTACCTTGCAGTGCAATTTCAGAGAGATCCATACACTTGAACACAAGTTATTGTCTGGAAACTAGAAAAATGCTTATTTTTGGCCCCTTTTTGGCCCCTTCTTCCTAAGCTTTTTGGTCAATTACCCCCAAACTCAATTCCAGCTTTCCCTTTGTGATATAGAACCTTGTAGTACAATTTCAGAAAGATCCATACACTTACACACAAGTTATTGTCATGAAACTAGAAAAATGCTTGTTTTTTGCCCCTTTTTGGCCCCTAATTCCTAAAATTTGGAGGCAATTACCCCAAAATCAATCCCAGCATTCCCTTTGTGATATGGAACCTTGTGATACAATGTCAGAGAGATCCATACACTTACACACAAGTTATTGTCATGAAACTAGAAAAATGCTTGTTTTTTGCCCCTTTGTCTGTGTCATCATGAAAGAATCACAACATAAATCAAACAAAACTTTATTGGCTGTCAAAAACAAACTCATAAGAGTTTTGTAGATAATGAATACAGTATCAATACATCATTGAAACAAGAGTATGTGTCCATAGTCCATACAATTTTAAAAGTTTTCATTAAAATGGACATGTGTCCTATGTTTTAAGTTGACCATGACATTTCTCTATCTACATCATCTATAATTGTTTTCAAGATAATAAAAGATACATGCATTTTGCTGCTACATTTAACCTTTATCAGCCATATTAGTTGGATGGCGGAATAATTGGACAAAATTTTTAAACTTGATATCCAAAGAATATTGTGGTCAAGTTTTGGTTTCAACTGGCCTAGTTGTTGCAGAACAAAAGTTACCAGAGGATGAAAGATGACGAACTCCAAGTGATTGCATTAGCAAATTTAGATCACATAACTACTCATTCAACATTTTAGATTTGGAACCAAAATCTTACCATACATTCTTCGTCTTAAATATTCATCCTCATCTGGTCTTCCATATCGATCTGATAGCAACCTCCCTGGTGCTAATCTATCTTCTGGTCTTCCTTGAAACATTCTTTCTTCTGAATGCCTAGGTAACAGTCTATCTTCTGGTCTTCTAGGTAACATTCTTTCTTCTGGATGCCTAGGTAACAGTCTATCTTCTGGTCTTCCTGGTAACATTTTGTCTCCTTGATGCCTAGGTAACATTCTATCTTCTGATAACCTTTGAGGTAACATTCTCTCTTCTGATAATTGTTTCGGTAACATTCTCTCTTCGGATAACTTTTTAGGTAACATTCTACCCTCTTGTCTAGTTGATGACATCTGATCATTGTTTTTCTGATAAAATGTTTGACTTTCAAATTGTCTGTTTAATGATTGGGGTTGGGATTGGGGTTGGGGTTTAGGTACTGTTCTCTCTATCAATGACCTCTCTTCCACATTTTTAATTACTGGCTCAATTTTCACTGCTTCCATTGTTTCTTGAGCTGCTGGTTTTAAACTTTCCAGATTCAGATTTTTCAGATTTTCTTTTGTAAGACCGGTTCCTGAAAAAACAAAGTAAAGCTGTTACACATATTGACAATTACAAATCTATATGTTTTAGTTCAGTGGGCATAAAGAGGCCATTTGTCAAGGAAAATTATTCAAGAAAGACAAATGTGATAATGGTCAAAATAGATTTTGCAACAGTTTTAATTCCATATTATTGGAAAGTCATTTGAGAGCATATTAGTTACCATATTTTTCTAAAACTCACCTGATTGTATGTTAAAAGCAAAACTGGAGAGAGAGTGCAATTTGAATCTGTAATGTGGTTGACACAAAAAAGTTTGGTAAAGTAATCTCCTGATAAATGTATTCGACAAAACATATTATTTTATAAACTCAAAAGAAAATGGGATGAACAATAAAAAATCTATGTACCATATAACTGCATAATTTTCTAACCTTATGCAATTTCTAGTTTGAGAGTCAATATAATTAGCTATATTTTGAAATCGTAAGCATTTATCAAGAGGAATACAAATTATTTGGACCATAAAATTGCAATATTTACCTCTTTGACATCTTACAGCTAAATAGCTGGATTTTTAATGAACCTTCTGCACCCTATAACAAGTCCAGCGAGAAAGACGTATGCCAGGGGAGCACCCTACAAGAAGACCAGCAGGAAAAAAGTACTTCAGGGGAGCACCCTTCAACAAGACCAGCAAGAGAAGTACTTCAGGGGAGTACCCTACAACAAGACCAGCGAGCAAGAAGTACTTCAGGGGAGCACCCTACAAGAAGACCAGCAAGAAAGAAGTACTTCAGGGGAGCACCCTACAACAAGACCAGCGAGAGAAGTACTTCAGGGGAGCACCCTACAACAAGACCAGCGAGAAAGAACTACTTTAGGGGAGCACCCTACAACAAGACCAGCAAGAAAGAAGTACTTCAGGGGAGCACCCTATAACAAGACCAGCAAGAGAAGTACTTCAGGGGAGCACCCTACAACAAGACCAGCAAGAGAAGTACTTCAGGGGAGCACCCTACAACAAGACCAGCAAGAAAGAAGTACTTCAGGGGAGCACCCTACAACAAGACCAGCCAGAGAAATACTTCAGGGGAGCACCCTACAACAAGACCAGCGAGAAAAAAGTACTTCAGGGGAGCACCCTACAACAAGACCAGCGAGCAAGAAGTACTTTAGGGGAGCACCCTACAACAAGACCAGCAAGAAAGAAGTTCTTCAGGGGAGCTAAGTTTTTAAAATGCTCCATAACGAATTTAGTTTAAGCTTTAATTGGAAGGAAATCTTTTATCAAATTAATTAATATTTTTTTGGTGTTTGAATATTGCTACAAGTGGGGTAGAGATGGATGTGTATGGTAGATCAGGTTTATTTCTCATCAGGTAATGATTGAAGTTCTTACCATTTGTGGCTTTGGGTGATGGGAAAGGGTAGGAAATTCATTTTTCTTGACATTGTTAAACTATTAGCATTTAGAACTTAATATTGATAATTTAGCAATTTTAGGAATGAATGATGTAGCAAAATAGGATAATAATATGGGCTCAACTTGTGGCATGAAATTGGGCATGAATTGGTAAATGTGATTTATGGTATTGTCATTCTAAGTGGTTAGGATGTTATTTTAATTAGATTTGTGAATTTGTGGAAAGAATCTATAAAAAAAGAATCAAAAGGTGACATTAATGTTGTGTGTTTTTTAGTGGATTATTATTAAATTGTGATTTGACTTATTTCCCTTTGAACAGAGATATCAATATGGAGGGAATTTGTTTTTACGTATATGTGGAAAATGTTTAAATTATTATTGAAGTGGATTGGTATATTTGAATGAGAATGCTGATAATTTGATAATTTTGGTGATGCAGCTTTTTATCTATTTAAAGTGCAGAAAACAATTAATGTGATGTTATGGAGGAGATAATTTTTCATTGTTTATTGGTTTTACATATGACTTTGATTGTTAGAATGTTATTTTGAATTAATTCTTTAATAAATTTGTATAGACCAAAATTCTAAATGTTGGGCAAGATTAAGCATACCATAGATACCCAATATTTCAAGATTATTTCAACCCCATAGAAATTGGTCAGAAAACAGCAATTCAAACAAAAAAGTTTAAAATTTTTTACCCCTTTTTGGCCCCTAATTACTAAGCCCATATGGCCATAACCCACAAATTCAATCCAACCTTTCTATTGTGATATGGAACCTTGTGGTAAAATTTCATACAAATCCATATACTTATACTCAAGTTATTGTCTGGAAACCAGAAAAATGTTAGCTTTTGGTCCCTTTTTGGCCGTAAATTCTTGAAGGTTCAGGCCATAACCCCCAAAATCATTCCAACCTTCCTTTTGTGGTATGGAACCTTGAGGTACAATTTCATAGAGATCAATACACTCATACTCAAGTTATTGTCTGGAAACCAAATGTCTTCCGACGAGGACGACTACAATACCATACCATTATACGGCCGCATAAAAAACCTAATTAATGTCAATAACAACACATAAAATACCTTCCAATAAATGGTTCAAAGCTCCACTTTTGATCAAGTCTGCAGCAGCTAATTCTGTTGATACATCAATTTCTAGTTTGACCTTTACATCCTGACGACCTTCACGTGCTTCAATGTCTCTGGCAAACTCTTCAGCAAATCCATTCTGTTCAGATTTCTTACGTGATGTGTAAGCCATCATCTTCTGATAGGTGTCTGGATAATGCTCCCTCTGTAATATGTACATGGAACCACTGAATGTATCATTTTATATAAAATCTTAATGTGAATCTTAGGCTGTCTTTTTTTTGAAGAAATATATCCTCAGCATGCAAATACTTTGGCTTATAATTTGTGAAAAGTTGAAATGGACATATATGCATTACATGACTTCTTGACTTATGCAAGTTTTGTATAAGCCTAGGTTGTGAAATATACATCTTTTCCTGTTTCAGTATTGTTCCTTGAACTGTCAAATTGGTATTTAAATGTTGGAAACTTGCTTCTCATACCAATCCACCTGCAGACATTTAATAAAAAATCTATTTTTTTGATAAAAATAATTAAATAGAACAGTGAGTGAACTCACATACAGATAACCTGGACTTACAAGAGACTATTACAACAATTTGTAATATTGAAGTAAGTAAATTGGATTATCTCCCATTTTACAAGTGGGACACTGATCATATACAGATGACCATACATTTTCTCGAAACTAAAATTTATTTGTACAAGGCTTAAAAACAGGTAAAATGCGATGCTAAAATATTTTCAATTTTATTCTCTGGACTGTCTTTTGATAGAGAGGAAGCTTCTATCCAAGTTTTGTAAAATTCCATTAAGTTTTGAATAAACTGCTTCGCTGAGCGCAGCTGGATACGCCTGCAAAGGTCCAACCCTGAACAGTTGGGACAAAAATGGACACAATATTCAAGCTTGATACAGGTCTGAATTTGGATTGTATTAAATATTTAACATATTATAGGTTTCTGAATAAATGTAGTCAAAGAACTTGAAATTGGTTATATGAATTGAATTTATATTCAATTAAAGATTTCTTGCTGTTGTGCAATACACTGTGCTGTTGCGCAATACTAAGTAAATCTGTTGTCAGACTATAAACAATTAAAGTTCAATTAATTCTCAATGTCATATTAAAAATTTATGAAAATGTAAAGGGAGCTTACATCAAAAGATATAAATAATTCACTAAGGTTTCATGAGAATTTCTGACAGCATTTTTGAGTTATTGTCCAAAAACTGGAAAATCCCCCCTTTTTTAATGAATAAAACCCCACAACTCAGAAATGTAAAATGTAAAATTTATAAAATTCTAAGAGCTTACATCAATAGATATAAACAATTCACCAAAGTTTCATAAGAACTGCTGAAAGCATTTTTGATTTTTTTTCAAAAAATTGAAAAATCCCCCTTTTTTTTATGAATAAAACCCTGTAACTCAGAAATGTAAAATCTAAAATATATAAAAATCAAAAGGGAGCTCTTGTCAATAGATATAAAAAATTCATCACAATTTCTTGCAAGTTGGTGATAGCATTCTCGAGTTATTGTCCGAAAACTGGAAAATCCCCTTTTTTTAATGAATAAAACCCCATAACTCGGAAACGTAAAATCTAAAATTTATAAAAAATGAAAGGGAGCTCACGTCAATATAGATATAAACAATTCACTAAAGTTTTATGCAAATTGGTTAAAGCCTTTTTGAATTAATGTCCGACATGTTGATGACGGACGGACAGAGGTATAGCATAACACATCCCGTAAACGGGCGTATAAAAATTTAATGATGTTCTAAAAATTCTAAAAAGACTGATCCTTATAATTTATGTTTGAACGATGACAGAATGCTGAATTGCTATGTCAAGCTTCCACTACTTTTTTTGCAGGTTCAACAAAAAACAAGAAATGATTGTAACAGGATGCTGTTACGAAGTCTCCCAAACGAAGCTCCCATAATTCGTAATTCCCAGGGTCGCCTGACATTGGGCAACGTCCATTGAAAATTGGTTTGGTCCAGTAAAGTTATATGCATTAGTGATGCCTGGGGACTAACCTTGTATATCATTCAAATCATCTTGGCATGACAAACCAGAATATATATGGTTTAGGGGTGGGGTCTCAACCATTTACAAGATACTAGAATATTGGGGGTGGGGAGGAACCCCTGGGGACTGGCCCTATACATCATTCAAATGTTCATTACATGACGAACAGGAATATATATGGTTTAGGGGTGGCGATCTCAACCATTTACAAGATATTAGAACATTGGGGGTGGGGGAACCCCTGGGGACTGACCGTATACGTCATTCAAATGTTCGAGACATGACAAATAGGAATATATATGGTTTAGGGGTGGGGATCTCGACCATTTACAAGATATTAGAACTTTCTCAAATGGCAGGGGGTCGGGATGACCCCTGGGGACTTACCGTGTATATCATTCAAACCATCTCAGCATGACAAACCAGAATATATATGGTTTAGGGGTGGGGATCTTGACCACTTAGAAGATATTAGAACTTTCTTAAATGGCAGGGGGTGGGGGTGACCCCTGGGGACTTACCCTGTATAACATTTGATGTGCTTTATCATGACAAACCAGAATATATATGGTTTAGGGGTGGGGATCTCGACCATTTACAAGATATTAGAACTTTCTTAAATGGCAAGGGGTGGGGGTGACCCCTGGAGACTAACCCTGTATTTCATTTGATGTGCTTTATCATGACAAACCAGAATATATATGGTTTAGGGGTGGGGATCTCAACCATTTACAAGATATTAGAACTTTCTCAAATGGCAAGGGGTGGGGGTGACCGCTGGGGACTAACCCTGTATAACATTTGATGTGCTTTATCATGACAAACCAGAATATATATGGTTTAGGGGTGGGGATCTCGACCATTTACAAGATATTAGAACTTTCTCAAATGGCAGGGGGTCGGGATGACCCCTGGGGACTTACAGTGTATATCATTCAAACCATCTCAGCATGACAAACCAGAATATATATGGTTTAGGGGTGGGGATCTTGACCACTTAGAAGATATTAGAACTTTCTTAAATGGCAGGGGGTGGGGGTGACCCCTGGGGACTTACCCTGTATAACATTTGATGTGCTTTATCATGACAAACCAGAATATATATGGTTTAGGGGTGGGGATCTCGACCATTTACAAGATATTAGAACTTTCTAAAATGGCAGGGGGTCGGGATGACCCCTGGGGACTAACCCTGTATATCATTCAAACCATCTTAGCATAACAAACCAGAATATATATGGTTTAGGGGTGGGGATCTTGACCACTTTCAAGATATTAGAACTTTCTTAAATGGCAGGGGGTGGGGGTAACCCCTGGGGACTAACCCTGTATTTCATTTGATGTGCTTTATCATGACAAACCAGAATATATATGGTTTAGGGGTGGGGATCTCGACCATTTACAAGATATTAGAACTTTCTCAAATGGCAGGGGATCGGGATGACCCCTGGGGACTAACCCTGTATATCATTCAAACCATCTTAGCATGACAAACGAGAATATATATGGTTTAGGGGTGGGGATCTTGACAACTTAGAAGATATTAGAACTTTCTTAAATGGCAGGGGGTGGGGGTGACCCCTGGGGACTAACCCTGTATTACATTTGATGTGCTTTATCATGACAAACCAGAATATATATGGTTTAGGGGTGGGGATCTCGACCATTTACAAGATATTAGAACTTTCTCAAATGACAGGGGGTGGGGATGACCCCTGGGGACTAACCCTGTATATCATTCAAACCATCTTAGCATGACAAACCAGAATATATATGGTTTAGGGTGGGGATCTTGACCACTTACAAGGTATCAGAACTTTCTTAAATGGCAGGGGGTAGGGGTGACCCCTGGGGACTAACCCTGTATTTCATTTAATGGGCTTTATCATTTAGAACATTTTCAATTAAAAAGTTTGTGTCTATCACGAACGGTTTTCAATTTATAATCATTTGAAAATTTAAAAAAATAAAATCCCATAGGGTTCTATAGTAAAACCCTCTTTTCTTTTTGCCCCTCAAAGTACCCCTTTATAAACCCCATTGCAAAAACAAAACCCTGATTGCACCACTAGACATGTTAGTCTAACATATTGTGAAACCCTAAGTTAATCCGACAAGCGGTTTTGGAGAACGGGTGCGGACAAGTTCAAATTTAAAAGCGGCGGAAGAAGAAGAAGAAGAAGAAGAAGAATAATAATAATAATAAGAACTGAGCAAAAACAATAAGTCTTCCCAAACTTCGTTTGGGAGACTTAATTATGTAACTAATATTTTCGTCTGATACGAGTAAAAAATTTGTGTCTTGCCTGCGATTGCTACTGTCAGTGTAAAAGTGTAATGTTGACTTAATAAAATGCTCCGCAGGGCGCAGCTTGATACGACCGCAGAGGTCGAACCCTGAACAGTTGGGGCAAGTATGGACACAACATTCAAGCTTGATACAGCTCTGAATTTGGATTGTGATTAAATATTTGACACAGCATAGGTTTCTGACACAGAATGAATGTGGTCTAAGAACTTAAAAATTTTAAATTGGACATTCACCTATTATGGTCCAATATCCAAAATCTAAATACATGGTTAGATTCAGCATATCAAAGAACCCCAAGAATTCAATTTTTGATGAAATCAAACAAAGTTTAATTTTGGACCCTTTTGATCTCAATGTGGACAAAAATGATAACAGGGCCCAAAAATCAAAAATCTAAATACATGGTTAGATTCAGCATATCAAAGAACCCCATATATTCAATTTTTGTTGAAATCAAACAAAGTTTAATTTTGGACCCTGATTTGGACCAACTTGAAAACTGGGCCCATAATCAAAAATCTAAATACATGTTTAGATTCAGCATATCAAAGAACCCTAAAAATTCAATTTTTGTTAAAATCAAACTAAGTTTAATTTTGGACCCTTTGGACCTTTATGTAGACCAATTTGAAAACGGAACCAAAAATTAAGAATCTAAATACACGGTTAGATTCGGCATATCAAAGAACCCCAATAATTCAATTTTTGATGAAATCAAACAAAGTTAAATTTTGGACCCTTTGGACTTCAATGTGGACCAATTTAAAAACGGGGCCCAAAATCCAAAAACTTAATACACGGTTAGATTCAGCATATTACAAAACCCCATATATTCAATTTTTGTTGAAATCA